GCTGCCGCCGCTGCCGCCCCGCGGGAGGCCTGTGGGGAGGAGAGGGTCAGAGCGCCGCCGTCCCCAGCGATCCCCGTCAGTGYTGGGGAGCCCCGTAAGGGCAGCGCAGCGGGGTCGGTGTGTCCCCTCTGGGATGCAAACTCGGGATTGGGTCTGTGCCCGCCAGTGCAGTCCATCACCCCACGGCTGTGCCCAGGGCATCTTCCTCCCTCCCTAAATCTGTGCTCCCTTCCCTGGCATCAGAGCATCCCCCTGACCCACAGCACAGCGGTGTCTTCCTGCCYTGGTCACTGCATAGCCCCCACTGCCCCTCCGAAGGGCTGATGATGCTGCACCCCTCAGCTGTGCTGCTGTCACTATCCTGTGGTCCCATCCCGTCCCGTCCTCACCCCCTGCCCATAATCTGARGGAGACTGAAAGCTGTAAAGTCCTTTCCTTTCAGACCCCTTCGGTCACTGCATCCCTCACCAGTKTACAGATCTCAGATTATGTGGAGTGGTCCTGCCCCACAGCTACCCCTTGCACCCCTGCTTTGCAGAGTGTCCCCAGCACTGCTGSGGAGATGAGGGTTCCCCTTCCCTGCTGCCCCCTTCCCTAGTTAGCACTCTGTGTATCCTTCCAGTCCTCCAATTCTGACCCTCAGTTAGGGGGGCACACTTCCTTCCTTACTGTCCCCCCATCTCCCAGGCCTCCTATCTCTCTTCCTGCTCGGAGCTGCTGCCCACCAAACCCTGGAAATGTTCATCCTTATTCATCTTCCCGACACCCCCCCATATCACCTCTTTTCCTGCAGTCTGCACCCCAGTTCCTTACACCACCACTCCTATCCCACTGCTGTCCTGGGGCACCCCCTCAGACCGTGCTCCCCTCTCTGTGTCCAGACCTCGGGGCAGTGCCACCCAGTGTCGGTGGCCTCGGGCACATCCCTCCTCCTCAGCATCACAACCAGGTTCCCGGCTCACTCATTTGGGGTGCCCCTTCCCCGCGGGATGCCCCGGCTGCCTCTGCCTGGCCTGTTCGGTCAGTACTGCCCGGAGGGCTCKGGTCTCGCACCCCGTCCCACCGTGCACCTGCTGCCTGCCCCGCTCCGGCTCTGCTCCCCTTCCCCCGTGMCCGGCACGGAGGGGTCCCCAGGGTGACTCGGGGAGAAAACTGCCACCCTCCCCTGCGCCGATCCCGCGGGGTATGGGGCACGCCGTGTCCCACTCCAGCTCCGCTTCGGGGCTGATGTCCCCGGACACTCAAGTTCGGGACAGCCCGGAGAAGCAGGGAGTCCCCCTTGCAGTCAAACAACCCATGGGGATAGAAGGATCCCTCTTTGCACTGAATCTGGCACCCCACAGTCACCCGACGTCCCCCCCACCCTGTGCCGTTCGGACTCTGAGCGGGACCGRGAGAGGAGGAAAAGCCGGAGAAAGCTCCAGCCGTACCTTCTGTGGGAGCTGAGACGCCGGCTTCGCCTCCAGCCTGACGGAGAGCAGCGCGAGTAAAAGTCCACCAGCCAGCAAGGGTGAGATCTGCATCCTGCGGGGCCGAGCGGGAGGGGGGTCGGGGGGGCAGCGGGGAGCCGAGGGCAGCCCCGGGGAGAGGACGGCACCGACGGSAGTCAAAGTTCAGAGCGGAGCCCCGAGGTCCCTCCTGCCGCCTGCGAAGTGCCGAGCTAGTGAACTTGGGCTGCTTTCTGCTTCATTCATTTTATAACCCAACCTGCTCGGTGATGTCATCTAAACACCCAGGTCCAACCCGGGTCTCAAACGCTACAATAGCAGGAATTTAAAGGGGGGTGGTGGTGTCCCCTGTCCCCTGGCAGGAACAAATGACACAAGACAACCAGCTCTGGGAGCCGCAGAGCCGAAAGGGAAAGCGGGGGGCATTTGGCTTGATGCCCCTGCCCTCCCCCAAACGCCCCCCGRCCCCCCTGCAAGCGGTCTGCCCTCTCCTTGCCGCCTGCCCCACGGCCCCTCCTCTCCCCCCACGGCCCCGCTGACCTCCCGCGGAAGAACACGGGCCAGGAGGGGCGGGGGGAGTGGGGTGGTCCCGGTGCGGGATTAATCCCAAAAGACAGGAATGGGCGAAACAAGCACCTTTTTTTTCACATYCAGGATTAATCCTAAACTGTGTCTTCCAGGTCCCTACTTGGCAAGAGTGGGGCCACTGCCCTTCGTGGCAGGGACACTGGGGACASAGAGGGATGGAGGGTGCAGTGATACTTTTTGAGGGCACCTAAGTGGGTCTCTCAGCTCGGGACCCACCKCAGGAGGGTGGCTTGCTCCTTCTGCTTTTGTGAAGATGTGGATGGTGTCCCTGGCCCTGGAGATGGGGCTTTTTAAGCACTCTGGGGATGTCCTCTGCAGGGCACAGTCAATGTCGCAGGGTCCCTTTTGGGGACGGGATCCCCCTGGCTGATCCACTACAGGGCTGTGCAGCCTCGTCTCCTCTGACCTGCTCCCGGAGCTGGAGGGTGCAGGAAAAAGATATGATCCCGGGATTWACCCCAGTGGATCACAGGGGCTCTGAGGACATGATGGGGGCTCCCTCCTGCTCTCAGCCTTCCCCTTCAGTGGCCAGGAGGGCAGGATTTGTGCCTCTGCTGCTGCTGGGACTGGCAGTGGGCAGCTCTGGAGCTCTGCTGGCTTTTTGCTGATGGAGTTGAGCACCACCCCTGGCACTCTGTCTGGGGGGGATGCTCTGACTGGCATCAGGCCAGAGGAAAGACACCCCTCTCTTTGCAGAAGCATGCAGGGCTGGATTGCATTAGGCTGGATTTGCACCCCAAGTCCCTTCCCTGACACCAGGGAAACATTCTCTGCTCTTCCCCCTGTCCCTGTGGTTCATTCCAGTCTGGTCCTTTCCTCCTCTTCTGTATCCTCATCTTTCTGGGCTCTGTTGCTCCCCAAATCTCTAGGGAGCTACCCCTGCTGGGGGACCACGGCTCTTTGGGGATCTGTAGTATCCCTGCTCAGGAGCGGGGAGATGTTTCCTCCTCCACAGCCTGGGCTACTGGGCACAGGACACTTCAAAGGAGATTGGCTTTTCAACTCCATGTGAACGGGAGCTGGAAGGAGAAGGTCTCGGTGTTTTTTCCATTGTGCCTGCCAGGTGGAGACAACTTGGACTTTTTAGAGTGTGAAGCTGTGCTTGGGCATTTGTCTGCGTGCAGGCAGAGCAAAGTGATGGAGTCRGGATTAGAGCCGACCCCGGGTGCCAGAGAGCCGTGGGTGCAGGCAAGGAGCAGAGAGAGGCCCCTTCTCTTGGGGTTCAGTCCTCGTCCTGCATGAAGTGTAGCTGCAATTTGACATTCAGCCTGTCCAGAGTGCAAGGAAAGAGGGCTCTGCACCACTACCCCCATSAGCAAGGCTTCTGCAGGGGAAAGAGGAGCAGCAGGCTGAGCCCTGGGTCTCCCCAGCCTGGGGATGTCRGGGTGCCCGAGGCCACCAGCAGCCCCCACAGAATCCTGCCCTCACCGTCCTGGTTGTGCTGGCTCCTGCCCTGATGCCGTGGGCARCCTCCCCTGTGGCTTCTCCCGGGGGACCCGGGATGGGGAAGGAGATGAGGCAGATGGCTGGGGGGAAATGTCACCGTGTGTGCCTCCTCACTTGCCATCAGCCCCGCACGCTGCGGGACATGGGGTCAGTGCCGGAGCTGCCCCAGCAGCCACTCGCACCGGAGGATTAGAGCATCGCCACAACGCAGTCAGGTCTCAGCCAGTGCCTGCCCGCAGGAGGCTCGTCCCTGCCCTCAGCTCTCACTAGCGTGGTTTTCATTAGTGTGTTTTCTTTGTCACACTGTGCAGAGCCTCGGGTTTGAGGGGGGGAAAGGGGGGGCTGTGCTTTATAAATCCAATTAGTCTTGTTATTCAAATTACTCTGCCGAAGTCAGAGCCGGGCGCACACAAAGCCTTAACTCAAACCAGATCGGATCCGCTGGGGTGGCAAAAGCTCAGAGCAGAGAGCAGAGGTGTGCAGGAAGGGGTTAAGAGTGAGTGTGAAACCCTTTTGCTTGGTGGGGTGGGGGCCTGAAAGCTTTTAACCCTTAAAGGGATGGCCCTATGGGATGATCACCCAGGATGAGAACTGGCAGACTCAGAGCATGTGTGGAAAATGAGAAGTGGAGAGAGAGSGGCTCATTGGGATCTTCCCCAGGCWCTGGAGAGCAAAGAGGATCCTGCACAGCTGCACAAGAAGGGATGGAGACCTGTGGGGTGGGCTGGAGGGGATGACACTCCTCACCATCACACCCAGGGGCTCARAGAGAGCCAGGGGGAGAGAGAGGCTCCAGGGCTGGCCTGCCCCTGAGGAATAGCAGCGTGTGGGGCTAAAAATGGGGAGATGCTGCCAAACCTTGGCAAAGTGGGGTGAGCCCTGAGTATGGGGACTTTCAGGGAGCAGAGAGTGTGTATGTGAGAGGGCACATGTCCCCKGCCTGGGGATGGAAAGGGATTCATCGAAGTGTGACCAGTGGCAGCATGATTTGGAGAGTGGGAGGAGATGGGTCATGGGGATATGTGTGACAGCACAAGGAAGGTGAGCGATGCTGGTGGGTGGGGATGGATCCTGCTGGACAGCACGGGGGCCCCTGGCTCTCTTGTTTGAAGTTAGGAGCCAGGTTCCACACCTTCCAGAGGATGATGTTGAGAGAGGGTCACAGGATCGAAATATGGACTGAATCTGAAGTCAACTTCAGTAGCAGTGAACAGCCAGCGATCCATCCCCTTTTCCTTCAACTCACTTATCATTAGGGAGCATGTTTCTTTTTGATTTGGGAAATCAGTGCCCAGATTCATATCTCCTCTGCTGCCTTGGGCCAGGGAGCATTTCCTGACCAAGAGATAAATAGCACCCCATGGGGATGAGGATTTTCAGCTGATGCCATGTGAAAGCTGGTGATCCCTTTGCAAAAAGAGACCTCAGAAGGCTGAGTGCATGTGATGGTGATACCAGAGTGGCTGAGGTTTTCCGATAACCAGTGGCCAACCCAAGGACCTGTAGATTAAGAACCATCCCARGTAGTGGAATGGAGGAGGTACAAGGATGGAACAACTACAAGGATAAAGGAGCTACATGTCCCCCAGTGCAGCCACCAACTACCAGTCCCCAGGAACATGATGTGTGCTGTTTTCCTCACCAAGAGAATGTCACCAAGGGTTTGATGTGCCACAACAGGAGTTTTTACAATTGTTCTTTTTTTTTTTTTTTTTTTTTTTT